AAAGACACGGTTCTATCAGAGATCCAATGCTTGGATGAGGTTGGCTGGGTTGTACCGCAAGCAGACGCTCCTGCTTTGAGTAACGCGTTGCATGGTGGAATAGGCCGGATCACACGGCACATGACTCGACAATGTCGGAGCTAACGAAGGCGTTTTGAGAATACCTACTGATTCAGCAAAGAACTGTTCTTACGTGTTGAGATTTTGCCGCAGAATATATGCACGTTATCAAAGTTGATGGTCAACGCTAACGCATGCGGTGCGATAGCTTATTCACGCTTCCGTTTATTTAATTCACTCGCTCCTCTTGGAGTGGCTCGAGAATTTCACTTATTTTTGTTGATTTAAACCCTCATTTGTGTACTGGGTTGCCCGATGTGAACAACAATCGGTACGATCAGTCTTCTAGATACAGTTTATACAGTCGCTGGGTCTTTCATGGGAACCAGTTATCTCTGCAGTTTGTCGCCCATTTAGGGAAGTGGTGCATACGTTGAAGCTGGAGAATATGCAGCGGATGCTTTCAGATTCATTGCTGTTATGAGATCTGCACGGTGTCAGTTTGTTCAGCCCCCGCTCAGTTCCCTTTGGCTGTTCTATGCACTGTAAACCATCAGCGATGGGAGCACTACTATAAAACGAAACGGCATCGTAAAGCGTAACACACGCACGCACACGCAAGCGGCACATGACTTTCACACCAATCACAGCACACATCACGGTAAATTGACCAGTCTTCGGCCGCCCACACTAGTTATGACTTAACATCAGCCATTTAATCCTTGGTAAAAATCATCCTCGGTAGTCGAAACATTGGAACATTCATTCAATATATCCATTGTATAATCACCAGCGCTTTCAATACGGATCAGAATGCCCAGTATCTAGCATCTTCCAACTCTTTCAAACTCACTTGGTAGATCACCTACCGAAACCTGTTAACAACTGGATTGGTTTTTCCAAAGCCCCCCAGCGGGAGAGACCACCACATCAGATGCTGCTTTGGGCGTTGAGTGATGACACCACAATGCTTTCACCATAGAATAGAGGAAGTCTTTGTCAAGAGCGACCGACTTAATTTTTACCTCAAACTTCACGTTAAGTCAAAAACTTCAGGTACCCAATTTGTACCAATGCTACCTGGAATTTACTGTCGGTTTTTTTT